AACTCCCTATATTGTGTCCTCTTTCAAATGCGGCTCTTTTAAAGGAAACCTGAAAACTGAGAGAGATCACTAATAAAACCGGGGCCGGGGGGGAATCCCCTCATAAGGAGAACGTTTAAACAGAAGGAAGAAGGTATTTTCAGCAATGATTGCTTATTGTTCCTGTCTTGGGTCTGTTCCAGAGAAAAGTGGGTAAAAATAATGTAATAAACTAGCGGGGCACCCATGCTTCGCTACGAAACCATGTGATCGGGCAAGTTTTTGGGGAGCAAAATAAGGAGAGAAAGAAATAATCTGCCTCTGCCTACCAGCATCCATCAGTATTGATCTGGTTATCATCCTGTCAGAGTTGAGGGCTGTTTGGAAACTGAAACAGTATTTGCTGGGCGAGCAACAAGGAGACAGCAAGGAGCCTAGGCGTGGCTTAGCTCAACTGCAGTTACAAACAGATTTCTTTTCAGCTGGGGAGCGAGAGTTGAGGACTGTTTGGAAACTGAAACAGTATTGGCTGTGTGAGCAACAGAGAGACAGCGAGGAGACTGGGCGTAGCTTAGCTGAACTGCATTTAGAAGAGATGTCTTTTCAGGCAGGGAGGGGGAGTAGAACTCCTTAGCACCAGAGAATAATAATAATAATAATAATAATATAGGAAATACTGATGCTCTGATGGTCATTTTGAAAAATCCTTTCTTAATGAGCCCCTAGAAGCCAAGAGGAACATAGGTGCCAAATTTCAAGTTTGTAGGCTTTACGATTCTGGAGATTTGTGATGATGCATGAATGGCATTTTGCTTATATATATATATGTGTGTGTGTGTGTGTGTGTGTGTGTGTAATGTATGTATGTATATATACATATACATGTTTTCTTAAGTTTTCGCGGGTACTTACATGTATGGCATTCAGCTTTGTTCAGGTATTTTCCCACATCATTCTAGTTGTGCTTTGAAAGTTGTAGCGAAGTTTTGGCAGAATCTCATCTGCCACCATCAGGCTTCTGTATTGGGTTTGTCTGTGAGTAAGACGTCGCTACATCTTTAAAAGCACAACTATAATGACATGGGAAAATACCCGAACAAAGCTGAATACCATACATATAAATACCAGTGAAAACTTAAGAAAAAAAATATATATATATATAATATGCATCAGTGCGCCATCAGTCTGCTCCTAGCAAAATCTCATAGTAGCTCCTCTCCAACAACGGGAGGAATAAACATGTTCTGAAGTGGCTTTCAAAGAAGGAACACCCCAAAAGTCAAATTTCCCCCCGCCCCTCCATGAAATCTTCCTTCCTTCTACTGCTTGGAAGTCTCTGGACTCCTGTTACGCGCCGAGCAAACATTTTCACGACGGTGGGTGCCATCGTTGCCTTCGGTACATTTTGCAAAATGCCCCCAATTGTTCCACTGGGCGGTTGGTTGTCCACGTGGGAAAAAAAAAAAAAAGCACAACCATTAGTTGGCACTGCCCAAACCCAGGATTTCAAGGAGAATATCCCATCATCCAGGAAGTTGAAGTTAGGCCGAGAAGTCACCGAAAGCTACGACAGCAATTGGCTTTCCGGAAAGACGGAACAGGAAGCCTGTCGTCTCAAACGCGATGCCAAGGTTAACCGAGTTAGAACCCGGCCTGGCTGCAAACCAAGGAGGGTCTCCACGCTCGTGCGCTACTGCCCGAGGTTACTATGGAGGACGGACGGACGGACGGACCCCCAGGCCACCCGAAGATGGCTCGTGCGGCTTACGATAGCTTCAGTGAACATTCAACGCTGTCGGTGAGTTTGGTCCCTTCAAGAGAAACCACCGATCGTTGACTGTACCTTGAGGTTTATCACAGTCCTCGGTAAAAAAATCCACCGGCTGGCTTGTGATGCGTGCAGGAGAACTCACAAAAAAAATGTTTAAATGTTTATGGAGGTTCTCAGCCTTTCTTGGGAGGTTTTTTTGGGGGAAAGACGTTTCGCTTCTTATCCAAGAAGCTTCTTCGGCTCTAACTGGACGTTGGGTGGGGTTTTCTCTGCGGACGTTTCATGACCCAGCTAAGTAACATCATCAGTGTTAGAGGGAGTGAGATTGGGAGGAGGGGAGGACTGTGGGGTGGTCCTTCGAGCTCTCTGAGCCTGGTTTTCTTGCAGACGTTTCGTGACCCAGCCAGGAAACATCATCAGTGCTAGTAGGGAGTAAGTGTTTGTGGAGAAGAGGAGGAGGAGGAGGAGGAGAGGAGGAGGAGGGGGAGAGGAAGAGGAGGAGGAGGAGGAGGAGAAGGAAGAGGAGGAGGAGAAGAAAAGGAGGAGGAGGAGGAGGAAGAGGAGGAGGAGGAGGAGGAAAAGAAGGAAGAGGAGGAGGAGAAGAAAAGGAGGAGGAGGAAGAGGAGGAAGAGGAGGAGGAGGAGGAGGAGGAGAAGGAAGAGGAGGAGGAGAAGAAAAGGAGGAGGAGGAAGAAAAGGAGGAGGAGGAGGAGGAGGAGGAGGAGGAGGAGGGCGACTGTGGGGTCCCTGGTACTTGCTTGTACTGTAGTAAACTAGTAGACTAGCACTATGTTATCTTACGTTTATAAGAAAACAAGCAAGCTCAAACAGGACCAAGGACCCCACAGTCCTCCTCCTCTTCCTCCCTTCCTCCTCCTCCATCCAAATCCCGTTCTAATACTGATGATGGTACCTAGTTGAGTCATGAAACGTCTGCAAGAAAACCACCAAGCTCAGAGAGCACCAAGGACCTCCCTCATTTCTCGTTTCTCTTTGAAGGCATTTCGCTTCTCACCCACGGAACGTCTCCACGAAGCCGAAGAAGCTTCTTGGATTGAGAAGCGCAACGTCTTCAAAGAAAAAACAAACAAACAAGAAACTCCAGTTGCCTCTTGGGGGGAGGGGGGAGGGGGGAAGCCCCTCCGGGTCCCTAAAAAGCTTCAAATGGGGTCCTGTCGCTTCTCTACCAGGGCTCGAACCCAACGCCAGAGTCGTCAAAATAATGGCTGCACTCAACATTCATTGCTGTCGGTGGGTTTCGGGTTCGGTCAGCCCTCTGGCTAATGAATGCAAACTGCGGGTCAAACAGCGCCAAGATGGAGGCTGGACATCCCCCCCCTGAGACCCAGGACCTTAGCAAGGCCACACCTAGAGTCCTGCATCCAGCTTCTGCCAACCTAGCAGCTCAAAAACCAGGTTAAAAAATGCAAGTAGGGACCCCTTTGGTGGGAAGGGAACAGCGTTCCTCCGTGCGCCTTCTTTGCCGTTTGGTCCTGCCGGCCACGTGACCGCGGAGACGTCTTCGGACAGCGCCAGCTCTTCGGCTTTGTAACAGAGAGGAGCACCGCCCCCTAGAGCTGGAAATGAGTAGCACGGATCCGCGAGGGGAACTTGTCCCTTTAAGGATGGAGAAACACTCAGAAGGTGGATTTCGGTCTGGACCAACATCTTCAGGAAATTGCAACCCTCGGCTCGCTCGTCCCCCTCTGGATGGGGAGCGAGGGGGAGGCTTACGAGACCCCCGCTCCGCCAAAAATTCTAGGGGATTTCGGGGCGGGGGGGGGGTCCCTCATATAATGAGGCCATTCTCTGCCAATCAAAAGACGCCGGGAAACAAACTTGATTCGACTCTTGGAAAGAAGCAACCCAAAATCCGAAGACTCTGGATACCGCCCTCTGGTGTGGAACCATGACTGAACCAGGAGTTGCTGTCTCTTCAGTAAGATCCAGGTTTAACAAGAGTCAGAAGGGACCTTGGTGGTCATCCAGTCCAGGCGTCACCAACCTTATGGACCTCAGGTTAGACCACCAAACTCATCCTTTTAAATCCCGCGGACCAGAGACCCTGGGAAATTCCCCCCAAAAAAGTCTGCAGGGAAATTCCCCACCCCGTTTTCCTACCGATCGATCGTTCTTTATTGGGGATCGCAGGATACCATCTCCAGCTCCGTTCTCAGGGGAAAGAGAGAGAGAAAGGGAGAGACTTTGGGCTCCATGCAAGGAAAACAGCAGAAGCTGCAGAAGTCTTTCTTTCTCTCCCCCAAAGTCCCACCAGAAAGGAGCCTTTGCCGGCACGGCCTCTTGGAAATAGGAGGCCTTGCAGGGTCCCAAAGACTCATTTCAGGCAGAGTTTGGGGGAGAGAAAGAAAGACTTTGGCTGCTTTCCTTGCGTGCAGCCGAAAGCCGAAGAAGAAAGAAGCGGAAAGAAGCAGCCCGGTGACCAGCCCAGGTGTGTGGGTTGAGTGGGGTAAGTCCCTCCCCTCCGCCCTTTCTCCCCCCCTCCCCTCACTACCTCGTGTTGTTCGCAATGCAAGCGACGCAAGCCTTGTGTTCCCGTGCAGCCTGGATTAATTGCTTTTGGGGGGGGTGACATTTCTTTGCGGGCCGCCAAAATTTTCTTGCGGACCACCAATGGTCCCTGGTTGGCGACCGCTGTTCTAGTCCAACCGCCTGCCCAAGCAAGAGATCTCAAACCATTTCTGACGGTAGACAGACACCAAGGACAAGGGTTCGAGGGGAGCAAACGGGGATCTTCGTTTTTAAGATTCCCGCGGGGAGGATGGGCCTCGCTTCCATGGCACGACGATCGCAGGCGGTCCCCGACTTTACAACGGTTCATTTAGGGACTGTTCAAAGTTACGACGGCGCTGAAAACTTTGACACACACACACACACACACACACCCCGACCGTTTGTCATCCCTACGACCCACGGTCCAACGATCCAAACTGAAAGGCTTGTCAACTGCTTCACGTTTATGATGGTCGCAGTGTCCCTGGTCCACGTGATCCCCTTTTGCGACCCTTTTCCCCCAAGCCGAGGTTCGCTTAATGACTGTGTGTCTAACTCATCGACTGGCCGTGACTCGCTTAACAATGGGGAGCAACAAAAGCCACCGAACGTCTCGCTGAGGCTCAATCGCTGTCGTAAGTCGAGGATAGCCTGCCGATGAGTACAGGGGGAACCGATAGGACACCTCCCTTCTGTTCCCCCCCCCAAAAAACCCCCATCTTAGAGAAAATCGGACTTACTGCTGGCGTTCAAGAGGAGCACAGAAGGAGGCGCATTCATCTGTTCAACATCTGCAGCTGGGAAGAGAAAGAAGAAGAAAAATGCCGAGTTTAAAACATGTTTGTGGGGGGGGAAAAATTAAAGGTATTTTCTTGAACTGGTAGAGAGAGATGCGTCGTTTATATATCCTCCAACAGGCAGGAGCATAAGCCAGGAATCCTGGTTTGAGATGAAGCTGAACTGCCCCACTTTGAATCCTAGGTTAAAAAGGAAAGGGTCCGCTCGCACGTACGTGCTACTAGTTTCCGCTTCTAGGAGGTGGTGCTCCTCTCCGTTGCAAAGCTGCGGAGGCAACGCTGTCCGAAGACGTCTCCGTGGTCATGTGGCCGGCATGACTCAACGCCTTCGAAGGGGCACCAAACCCTGTTCCCTTCCCACCAAAAGGGGTCCCTGTTGTCTTACTTGCATTTTTTTACGTGCTTTTGAGCTGCTAGGTTGGCAGAAGCCGGGACCAGGAAGGGGAGCTCACTCCGTGACGCGGCGCTGGGGATTCGAACCGCTGAATTGTCGACCTTCCCGATCGACAAGCTCAGCGTCTTCGCCACTGAGCCACAGGCATCCCCTTAAGAATGTTTTCATGGGGACCATAAATATGGAAGGATTTGTATTGGCTACCTAAAACCAGCAACTGGGATTCCTCAACCGTCCAACGTACGTTGTTCCGCGGGACTGACAGTGATCCATTTCTTGTTTAAAAGTAGCTTATCCAATGCACGTTGTCTGAAAGGAAGGGCTACTTCTAACGTTCAGCTCAAATCTAGTATAGTATCCTTAAACTCAGGCAGTGGAGACGTTGTTGATCTACAACAGCCCTCCAGTAGGATTGATAATATGTATGGATGTTTTCAAAGTTTTCACAGACAGAGCCAAGCGCTGTCCAAAGACGTCTCCGTGGTCATGTGGCCGGCATGACTAAACACTGAAGGCGCATGGAAGGCTGTTCCCGTCCCACCAAAGAGGTCCCTATTTTTCTACTCGCATTTGTTTACACGCTTTCGAACTGCTAGGTTGGCAGAAGCCGAGATGAGTAACGGGAACTCGCGCGGTGACATGGCGCTGGGGGTTCGAACTGCCGACCTTTCAGATTGACAAGCTCATCAGCCAAATGAGAAAATGCTGAATTTTACAGAGGCTGCTCCTCTCCAGATGTGGAGAGGCCAATGGGGCTGGTTCCCCGTGGAAACAGATGTTGGCATAGGAATGTCTTTAAAAAGAAAAAAAAAAAAAGAAATATTGGGCACATGTTGGCTACGCACTAGCTAGGCTCACAGGCTGCACCAAATCACAACTTAGGGTGAAGCTCAACGCCAAAATAAAACTGAAATAAAACCCCAGAACGATAGACAGAACCTTGTGGGTTGTCCTCGACTGACGACAGTGCGCTGAGTGTCCGTTCAAAGTTACAACGGCACTGGAAAAAAAGGCACTTAGGGGCCGTTCTTCACACTTGTCATGGTTGCATTGCTCCGGAGTCGTCTGATCCCCTCGGGCGGCTTTCCGACAAGCGAAGCCAACAGAGAAGCCAGATTCGCCTCACAACCATGTGACTGAATTAACTGGAGGGAATTTGGTTAACAAATGCGAGAAGAACCGTCGTAAAACGAGGCAGGCCAAAAAAAAAAGTGATATATCATTTAGCCGCGTAAATTTAGTGGCTCAACGGGGGTCATAAGTCGAGGGTTACCTGCATCGCGCAATGGCTGAGGGGGGGGGGGCCACCTTATGGAAGCACCCTAGTCAAAAATGGGTCGGGACTCGCTGCCAGAACCTGCCCCATCGTCCTCGGCCACAGAAGGGCCGTCGATGGGCCCAACGCACCGCTATAAACCGGGGAGGCTCAAGCGTGGGAAGTTTATGCCAACTTTACACTGGCACGAGTCCGGTCCAGTCTCCCTTTCTGCTCCCGAGCGCTCGGGGTAGGGTGGGGACAGATGGACCAGGCAGGGGCCTACCAGGGGTGGAGGGAGAATGGGCTGCCCTGGAAGGCGGTTTGAGGAGGGGAGAGAAGTTGGAAATCAAAGTCGGCTTGACCCGAGGACCAGCTGTTGCTGGCCGGGGCTCCTTGACCTGTGCCCTCTCCTCCGGCCACGATGCGAACAGGGGGGGGGACGGCCCAATTGTTGACTGGTGGCATTGTCTCGGCTTTTGAAAGGAATAAATAATTTAGCGTGCTGAGTTGATGACCCCTTTTTTTGGAGATAGGGGGAAGGGTGGCTCTTGGGGGCTGCAATCAAGCCCTGGGGTAGCTTTAACGTCCTCCCCCCCCCTGCTTTTATAGCCTAATTGGGTGCCATAACATAAATCAATTATTTCTCCTGTTTTAAGGGACAATGGGTGCCATTCTTCTCCGGCTCCCCGTCCTCTTTGGGAGCCTTCTGGCTCCGTTCTTTTGACTTTTACAGCTGGACGGGCGACACGAGGAGAGGAGAAGAAAATGTCCCGCCACCACTGCAGGGTTGGGGAGTGAGAGGGACACACCTCAGGGGAAGGGCGGGGGGGGGAGAAAAAGTTTGACCCAGCCTGACCTTCTTCTGACCTGCGGCCGGCCTTGCCCGTTTATCCTCACCGAAACGGGGTTGGAGGGAGAATGAACTTCGCCTGAACCTGCCGGAGGGGGGGGGGAGTTGACTTTGAAGGGGCCCCAGGTGAGGCCGTGACTTGGCCGACTTCTCAACTCATGGAGGGCGAGGGCACCGTCACCTCGGGACGCACCTCAAAGGAAACCTGAGGACCCCTTTCCTCTCGGGATGTTGATTGACAGGGGAAGGCTTCAAAAATATTTTAGCAACCGGTTCGTTGGCTGGGTAGGCATGGCCGTGGTGGGGTGGCCCGGTCGGCCTCCTGCACCATGGCAGGGGGGCATTTTCAACCTCCCCAGGCTCCGGAGGCTGGAAACGGGCCCATCTCTGGCCTTCTGGAAGGCCTGTTTGTCGCCCTCCATGAGCCTCCATGCGGGCCCTGCACTTAGCCAGGATCCAAAACAGGCCACGTGGGAGGGACAAGGTGGACGTGGCTATCCAGTCGTCAGAACTACCGGTTCAGCAAAGCAGATGTAAAACTAACGCCCGGTTCTCCCGAACCGGTGTGAACCGGTAGCAGCCTCAGCCCTGGGGGGAGGGGGAACTCTGCCAAGTCACAAAACGAACCCGGCAAATTGTCCCAAGGAAGAGAAGGGAGCAGGAACGGGAAAGCGGAAAGGGAAACTCATCGTGGCTGATACCCTCCTGGAAAAACTACCTGCATTTTTTCTGGATTTGCAGCAACGAGGAGTGGAAATCCGTTATACTTTATTCTGATTTCCAGAGTAACTTTTCCTGGCTTTAGTACTATTCCCGGGATGGTGATCGAAGGATAACCAGCATTCTTATCATTGCCACCCCTGATGTTGAAAAGACTACAACTCCCAGCATGCCTAGCTAGAATCCTCTGGGAAATACCATCCCCCAAGTAGCATCAGGAAAGAGATGAGGCCGTTGTTTGAAGGATGTGTTTCTCCTTTGAGGGGCAAAGAAGAAGGGACAAGGGGGGCGGGGAGAGGGGGGGGTTGTCTCATTTTGTTAAAATTCATCTTCCAAATTCTCCCCGGAGTTGGGAAAGAAGCATCTTCACACCTACCAAAGGGCGGGTCAGGCTCGGTCGAAGGCTCTTGAGGAAACCCTGAAAGAGAAAAGAAACGAGCCTTTTTAAAATATAAACGTTATCAATTTTCTATTGTTTACATTTCTTAGTGCTTAATAAACACCGTGCTGTCTGGATAGTTAATTTACTCGACAATACCAATTCCATTCTTAAATCTCCACCCCTTTTTTCCAACCTCTGGTAAAATAAGTTTCATGTTTGATAATATTCTCTGTCTTCTTTCTGTTTCATTTCCAATGTCAGTCTATCCATTTCTACACAATCTAGGATCTTCCTAATTATGTCTTTGTCTCACGGTGTTTCTTCGTTTTTACCGATATTGTGCGTGCCTCTATGTGAGTGATATGGAGTCGGCCACACCCAGCCAATAAAATGACCACCACACCCAACACCTAAGCCACAGAACCAGTTGTTAAAATTTTTGAATCCCACCTGGATGTTATGCCTAATAAAAACAGTCCAGATTTAAAATCTACATGTTTCCCTATCACCTTTTCTAGCCACCAGTGTATTTTTGCCCAATTATTTTTTTAGCACAAGTCCATTGCGCATGATAAAATATGCCCGGGTCTTTTTTGGTTGCATTTCCAACATTTGCTAGACATATTTTTTTTCCTAGCATGATTTGACTGCTTATTGTCCCCATGACTATCATTAAGTATTGTACCTGATGACTCTTGACAAATGTCTTTTCTTTTATGGACACTGGGAGCATTTGCACCAAAGACAAATTCCTTGTGTGTCCAATCACACTTGGCCAATAAAGAATTCTATCTATCTATCTATCTATCTATCTATCTATCTATCTATCTATCTATCTATCTATCTACCTACCTATCATCTATCTATCTATCTATCGTCTATCTATCTATCTATATCTATTTATCTATCAATCGTCTATTTATCTATATCTATCTATC